ATATAATGTTCCAAACATCAAAGCACATTATCTCAAGTTGTGAGTATCACAAAAAAAAAAAAAAATCAAGGAAACATTATGATTCATTTGGATAATTATTCTCTTTAATAAAATGAGGGAATCATATGAGAATAAAGAGTAAGAGATCTTGATTCATATAAAGAAAAACTCATCAAATTGGATCAATTTGTGAATACCAAAAGACATGCAAATCTCATTTTTAGTAAATAATAAAAAGAATTCTTAGGAGAATAAAATAATAGAATATTTTGATTCATTTATAAGAAATCTCATGATTTATATAGAAAAGCTCCTCTTAAATATATAGCAAGTAGAATCATAGGAGAATAATGAAAAGTCTTGATTCATATAAATAAAATCTCAATTTATCAAGATTTGATAAATATTCTCTTAAAAGAGCATCAAGAAAGATGTTTCATGTTGAATATATCACAAGTCATAAATATGATAAATGATTTAGTTAGATATATCATCTCATTAGTAAAATGAGTCATATGAAAATAGATCCAAAATCATCATCATCAAAATCACTTTTCAAAAAATTCAATGAAAGTAACGTAGATAGATTCCTATAAAAAATAGTTCAAGTTCTTTTAGTTATTATTGATTTCATGCAAGCATGTGTTTATCTTTTTATGCGAAATCAAAAATATATATCATCATTTAAACCAAAAAAGTAATTTTTATTACGACAAAGATCAATAAGCTATAAATCACAAAAATCACCATGCATGATTTCGAAATATAAACTAATTATGCATGATTTCAAATCATCATTACTTCAAATCATCATGCATAATTAAATCATTAAATCATCAAACATGATTTCATTAAACATAAAGTATTTTTAATCAAAAATATTTTGAAAATCATTTTTGACATAAAGTAAAATGATTTATAAATTCAAATCATCATAAGTTAAATTTACAAATTGATCATTTTCAATTAAGTGAATCTAACTTGTCATGTAATTGTCATGTTTTATTTTTTTTCAAAATCACTAGAAAGAAGAGCATGATCTCTTTTTTTTATAATTTATTTTATTTTTTACTAACTAATTTAAAAAGAACTCATGAAAAGTATCAAGTAATTTCAAAATAAAGTAAAGAAGTTTCATGTGAGTTGTTTACCTTGTTGTCGAGAATCACCAAAGTGAAGTTTGCCATTTTGTCTTTATCAGCTTGCTCCTTGTCTTCGAATGCATTCATTTCGTCCCAAGTCATATTGAGTACTTTCTTGTTCTTTGATATTTTTTTTTTAAAGTTCATTGTTATTCTTAGTTTCATATTTTATAAATTTTATAAATTTACTTGTGAGGAGTTCTATGTCATCATCACTTGAGCTTTCGCTCGAGTGGTCTTCTATTATTCGAAATGTCACATCCTTCCTGTTCTTTGGAAGGTAGTTCTCATATTCATAAAGTTCATCATGTGCCTTCATATCATTTCATAGGTCATTAAAGACCCAATAAGTTCTTCAATAAAAAATTAGTTCAAGTTCTTTTATTATTGTATTATCGTTACTTTCGAATCCCAATTTTTAGAAAGAGATCGTAAAACTTTATTAATAAGTTCAAGATTCGAAAAACTTATACCAAGTGCTTTTAAACCATTGATGACATCCGTAAAACGGGTATATATGTCTCTAATGGTTTCACTTGGTTTTATACGAAATAATTTAAAATCACGCATCAAAATATTTATCTTAGAATATTTTACTCTACTAGTGCCTTCGTGTGTGATTTCAAGTATGTGTCAAATATCGAAAGTGGTTTCACAAATAGATACTCGATTGAACTCATTTTTATCTAAAACGCAAAATAAGGCATTCATAACCTTGACATTCAGAGAGAAAGTCTTCTTCTCCAACTCATTTGAATCGTTCGTTGGAAGAGAAAACCTTTTAAATATGTTTTTAACAATATTCCATAAGTCACGGTTCAAGGAAATCACATCCGATTTTTCAATAATAGAAAAGCCCTCTTAAAAGCTGAAAAGAGTCATTTCTCTTTGGTGTTAAACCAAACGAGAAAAAAATGTGGCTCTGATACCAACTGTTAGGATCACGAACGACATTAAGAGGGGGGGGGGAGGGGGAGGGGGGTTTGAATTAGTGCAACGGAAAAATTACATCGGTTTGAAAATCTTCGTACGATAAAAATCGATTTCGACAAAAACCGTTTATTTGCCTCATTTAAGTTTGCAAGTGAATAGAGAAGAGGGGATCGGATAGTTTGCAATGAAGTAAAGTAGAATGCAGTAAAGAGAATAAGCAGTAAAGAAAGAACACACTGAAATTTATAGTGGTTCAGTCGTAATAACCTACATCCACTTTCGATTCCTCATTCGTTGAGGTCATCGACATCTACTAAATGTCTTCATTCAATAGGCGAAGATCAACCATCTCTTCATAGCACTTTTTCCTTTTCACGAGTTTAGGAGATAACCCTTACAAGTCACCCTTTTACCTTACAAATCACTCTTTTACAAGTATTCCCTCACACACCTTCCTTAGGACTAACTCTAAGCACTATGAGAAGGGAACTCAAAGTTGTGGTAGAGTTTACTTAGTTTTTTTCTCAAAAATTCTTGCTCCTTTCTTGCTGCCCAAGTGAGGTATTTATAGGTCCCAAATAGTTTCAAAAATAGAGCCAAAAATTTAAATTTATGAGTCTTCCGAGTACGGGTGGTACCACCGTCTGTAGCTTGACACTGGGTGATACCACTGCCCAATCTGGTGGTACCACCATATGACACACTATCACTATATGGTACAACCGCCTGACAGCCTCGGAGACCAAGTTTTTCGAGTTTTCCAACTCACAAGCGGTTCCACCGCTTGTTCTGGTGGTGCCATCGCCTGACCCACCTTTTGGGTCACTGAATGGGCCTCCCAATGAGCCCAATTCAGTCTCAATTAAGGTACAATTGACCCCTAATTGAGTTAGCATGATTACACTAAAAGCTAACTCAATTAGTCCCCTAAACTACTTCGATCATAGACAAATTATTACAAAGCATGAATCCTTTGTCCGACATGTCATTAGTTCATCGACGCCTTGTCTGATTCTTCGGCTCAACATTCTCTCTTATGGCCTATTACCCAATCGGCCAGTTGACCTCCGCAATTTCAATTTTCTTGGCATAATTTCCGCTCTCCTTGGCCCGATACCTGAACCCATGGTCCGAAGTCTTCTGCTGATACGTCGATCGATCCTTCGACTCAACATCCAATCTTCTGACACGTTTCACTCCGGCCCAATATGATTATTTCTACTTTAATTAATTTGTCTCTCCTTGATCGAAGCTAGTCTTGTGTCACTCAAAATACAGATTAGATCACAAATTCATCAATTGATTTCATCGTCAAAATTCGAGATTCACGAGCTACTACAATTATACGGCGAATTTATTGCCACCAAAGTATTTTTTCTTTTCCAATCCTTCAATTGGGCTCGAAGTCGAGCAATTTCGATGCAGTTTCAATCTATCTTAGCTAACTTATTTTGAAAATACCTCCCTCGTGGCAAAACCATCATTTCAGCTAAGGCATAGTGGGCCTTATTCAACACCGCTATCAAGTACTGGCCCCTTTAGTCAAGAAGACAATTAAAAGAATCTCTCAAACCTAAACACCTATAGTGTGCAAGCGATTAGGAATTTACCATCACCATGTGTTTACTATGATCATTGAGAAGGGTCTATGTCTCCCCCCAATACAAACCCTTCACAAGGGAAGGATGCATCACTCCTCGTTTCCACTACATCTTAATGAACACAAATGTTAGACTTATGTTAGATAACATATAATTGAAAAAATAAATGACAAGAAATATAAAAGTTTAATTAGAGGGCTAATTTATTATACACATTTAAGGTTGGATATAATATTTATAATTAATTTATTAATCAAGTTCATGCATAGTCTTAGCAAGCATCACTTTGTAGTAACTAAGAGAGTTCTTGAATACATCAAGAGCATCCACTATGACCTGTTGAAATATTTTAAATTATATTCTTATACTGATAATGATTGCATTGGTAGTGTAGATGATTGAAAACAATATTTTAAGATTTGTACTCAACCATGGCTTGGGGGTGATTTCATGGACAACTAAAAAGCAACAATGTGCTGCTCTCTCATGTTTTGAGACAGAGTATGCAGCGACTATAAGTATGACATGTCAAATAATTTAGCTTTAAAGAATTCTAACATATCTTAAAAGAAAAAAAGATGAATAAATTAAAATATACTACAACAACAAGTCTATAATTGTAATGACAAAGAATATTATCTTTCATGAGTTCCATATCACTTCATTAGTGAGTTGGTAAATAAAAAAAAAAAATCAAATGCGACTAACTTGCTGATATCTGTTTCAAAACTTTGGTTAAAAATATAAATAATCTAAAAATTATAATTATTTTGAATTAAGATGTGTGATAAAATTAATTTAAAATGGTTATGCAAGATGGAATAGTCAATGAGTGGAGCATATGAATGGAAGAGAAGATGAGTTTATCGAGCAACGTTATTTTAACATGCGTGAAACTACCTTCCTTTGCTTATATAAATAGATGCTAATGGATGACCCCATAACAACGTTGATTAAAGTGTTCCTCCTCAAAATATTTTGTCTACTATCTTCTCCTCGTTCTTCTTGAAGTCAACAAAACCAAAACCATTCCAGCAATCCCTTGCTGAATCCATTTCTCCATCCTGCCATCGAAGGCCCATCAGCACTTTGTTGTCCCCTCCTCCGTCCATAGCTTTGCATGAAGCTTGGGTAGCTGTTGGACTTGCTGTGGCATCACTCAATACTCTCTCGAAGGACCACCCATCGGCTCCAAAACCATAGTACGGGAGGTAGTCAAGGCCGGTTGGGCTTGTGGTGTCGACGAAGTCATTTCTTACGATGTCAAGAAAACCATTCGTTAGGGCTATGGCAGATGTCACTGGATCAGTCTCGTCCAGGCCAACCTGCATGATGGATGGCTGCATTTGAAGGGTAGAAGAAGCCAGGAAGCAGTCGCTTGGATCATGTGAAGGGGGTGGAGTACTGTTCAGAGTGGGTAGGAGTGGGGTGGTGATGAGGTCTTGATCTTTTGCCTTCTTGGAAGAAGAGGATGAAGAGGCGGAGGATCTCTTGTTTTTCCTGCATCCACCTCCCACTGGAACGTTCCTAAGTGAGCCTCCCTGAGTCCAGTAGCGCCTGCACTCCTTGCAGAAGTATCTCGGCTGGGAGGGGCTGTAGTTGTTGTAGTAGCAGAACTTGGTATTGGTGGAGGCACACCTGGGGCATTTCAGGGCCTGTCCTGGACCAGGCTTTGCCTTCTTATCCTGTTGCTTCTGGCTCCTGGGACATGCCACAGCTTCCTCTAATCCATGGCTACCCCGTGACTGTGGCACATGGGAAAGAACTTAGAGCAGCAGTTATGAGTTCTGAATTCCAAGAAGCAGAGGGGATGAGATATGTGGTGTATTCTCCCAATTTCCAGATCTTATCATGCAGATAAAAGGTTCGGGTTGGCTACTTCCTATCACCTACAAGATCTAACAGATTATGAAGCTGCCTTGAGATCCTATCAAGAACAAATTTTAGGACTTGTGGAGTAAATACTTTCTGTGTTTCTTCTCGGTACTTGTATTTACCGCATCATGCATGCACTCGGAAAACTGTATCAGGATTGATTCTTTCCTTCGAACTAAACCTACATGATGTACTTGCAACTTCCAGGGGTGTAGGATAATGAAAGAAGAAGATAGTCATGATCAAGATCATGTAGAGAAGATGCATAAACTTGACAACAATTTTGAGATCAAAATTGAAGATTAAGAATGAAACCCAAAATCGATCTTTCTAATTCCATATGTTCTTGCAAAACCGAAGGCAAAGTAAAATTTAGCAGATAAAAGATCGAAAATCTAATTCATCAGAGGTAGGAGTTTCCAGTACTGCATGTATGTACTCTTCCAAGACACTACATGTTTGCTCAAACGCAAGAAGCAAGGGCGCTAAGAGAACTCATTCCTGAGAAGAGCTTGAGACTATGTTACCTGGTGGCCAGCATTAGAAATCTCCATGCATGCGGAAGAACAACCTCAAAGAAATCGAGAGAGAGAGAGAGAGAGAGAGAGAGAGAGGAGAGGCCAGTCGAGGCAATGTAGAGTGGAAATAAAGACTTGCACTCCACCCGCTAATAAATAAGAAAGAGAAATTAAAGGGAGTAATGCCATTGGAAGGACCACCTATCTCGAAGCAAGCGTGTTGCATGGGATTGGGCGAAGCGCATGCACTGTACGATCCTCTTTAGTGGATTCCTCGTGTTTGAATACGTCCCCATAAGCTTTTTCTTTTCTCTCTCTCTCTGTTTCTCTTTTCTGCTTTATCTCTCTCTTCCACCTGAGCGTGACGAGAGGAGGATTGATGGCGGTGGTGAGGTTGATTCGCGATCAAGGAAGGAATAACGGGAACAAGGACGAACCGGCCAACTGGGTGGGGTTGGTCGGCGACGTGGGACCCGGCTTCAGGAAGAACCGATGCCGGCGAGAGCGGACTACCAACTACGTGATTGCCACCCGATGTTGTTTCCGAGTCACTACGAAAGAGAAGGGCACGATCTCTCGATCGCTTCGCCCATCCAGACGGAGAAGGAGGTGGCGCTACTCATTTCGCTCCCGTCGCCATAACCTCAAACGCCACCTATATATATACATATATATATATATAGAAAGGAACGGATGACCACATTGAAAGACTCTCGTAAGAAGGCAAGCTTAATTGTCAAAGCTCATGATCCCGCCATAATGCTGCAACCCCGCGTGGAGAGACGCATCCAGAATCCTGTTGAATGACCAGCCAACCTCGCACAGAAAAGAAGTGGCAACTGCCTGAACCTTAATTATTAGACCTGAGTCAATTTCGTTGACATTATTTGCTCGTTGTCCAACATTTTACGTCGGCCAGCAGGTGAACAATGTCAGATTACAGTATACATTTTAGTCGGTTGTACTATGAGAAGAAGTGAGAGTCTTGAAGTATTTGGTGGCTCTGCAACTTTCAGATTCGTAATGCTGGCAGACTTTATGATGCCCTGTTGATTGTGTGCCATTAACACAGTGATTTATGAGGTCTAAGTTGCCCACCTTGGAGAATCTACAGAGTTTGCATTTGACCTGCAACCTTAGAGAGTGGCTGAAAACAGTAAAATTGGGATTGCAGCCGATGAGAACTCAGATTCAGCCAAAGGAGTTAAAAGGCTTTCACATACATATAAAGACCCAATAAAAGGGAGCAGTAAACTCTTGGAGAAGTCCATTACATCTAAGAATAGCGTACACACAAGCTTCATAGTTTTGTCCAACAAGGACAATACATAAAACAACTTAATTGTTATAGGAAAGCACTTTTAGCTATCCAATACTCCAATCACGTATCAGTAACAATACCCATATCCTTCTAGTGTGGATGAAAGTACCTATCCTTGCTCAAAATGAAGAGCCAATTGATTCCAGCACTATACACGCTGCATGGCTTGACTGCTAAAAGATCAGCCAAGACCATTTCATGTGAGCGGCCATGATGAGATGTCCATATAGACAACATGGAACCATAAATTAGCAACTGCATCAATTGTATGTCCGTCTACTAAAACATCGGACACTGTCGAGGTCTAGTCAGGGTTAGGTTTGAGGAAATGGTACAAAGCAGTTGCAATCTCACTGACCACCCTGCTTATCATCTGATTGCCCTGCTTGTGGGTCAGAAACCAAGTTCCTCTTGGTGTTGTCTTCAGCGCATTGGTTGCATTTCTTGATTATTGCGTCTTCTTCTTCTTTAGTTTGTTCTCCAGTTCTCTCCTGAAAAGATGGAATATCATTCCTGCAACTTACGTATCACAAGCAGAGAAAAGGTAGCAAACGGTGGCGAAGTTCAATACCTGCAGAGAGCCATTCTGAGCAATAAGACCATCATATTCTTTCTTGATTCGGTCTACTTCTGCTCTGAGGGCACTATTCTCCTCTTTTAGAACCTCAACACGCTGTGCCAATTCTTCGTACTCTGCCTGGAAGTAACAACCCATTAGCCATGACAATCGTCCACCAAATGTTCTTCAAACAGCTCAGTTTCCACTAAACACACTATACCTGCTTGCGCAACCTTGATCGACGTGCAGATTCCCTGTTTGACTGCTTTCTTCTTTGCCTTTTCAGTTCTCTTTCATCCTAAATTCACCAATGATCGTACATTTAAACAACAAAAAAGTTGAAAGTCAAGGTGTTGTGTGTTGCAGAATAGACTAAAAGGTTACAAGAAAAGAAAACCAGAAATAAATTTATAGCATCACAGGCCTCTGAGAAGACAAAAGGCATATGATGAACAAAGGACATCAAACATAACGAAGAGGTCAAAGAGGGAATATCCAAGGATTCTCATGTCATTTGTGTCTTAATGTTAGTTACATTAATTCAGGCTTCATGCTACATGAATAACTCTAGGATTACCAGAGCACAAATAAACAACAAAAAACAATAACTTGTTCAGCATACAGCAGAATGGAATATGGTATCAAATCCCTGTTATGAAAATAAAACACTTGTGAAATGTCATAGTGCCTATTATCAGATCAAATGTTGGAACATTTACCTACAGGTCTGTTTGAAATATCTCATTCCATTGAAGGGAAAACCATTAAGGTTAATCTACACTCATGGACATGCCAGTTAGAGCAGTTCATTATATATGTTGTCTAACGACGAATGGAAAATATAGCCAATCTACAGTCAGACATCATTTTCAAACAACAGAGAGAAAAAACCCTGCCAGAAAGCAGTTGATTAGCTAAAGAGCAGTTTAACAGCATCATGAATCTTTTCTAGGGATACAGGATACAAATATGACATGACAAAGATGGAAGTTTCAAAAAAAGTAGGACATGATAGGGCAAGAATTTAATAATAAAATAGTACATACCAATCATAATATCTTTTATTTTATTAAACTGATTGAAAAATAACTGTAGTTAAATCTTGTAAGTAAAGCTAGATTAATTAACAAGAATAGATTATTCTACACATCAATATGGCCCTAAGCATATTATTAAATGTAACAAAAAGCTCATATAATCTTGGGAATAAGATAGTAGCACCGAATGGACCATAAGAGTTGGCCATGAGAAAGCTCCGATAGTCCAACAGTTCACAAGTCAATATTCAAATAGCCACCAAGTAGCAAGATTTTCATATGATCTTCCAATAAATGCCAAGAATCCAACACACGTTGAAGAAGTATAAACCACTTAGCAGTATCTTCATATGATATGGCATACATTCCAAGGCACATGTGAGAATCTTTCCACATGAAATGGGCATGAAAGCTTTGAAAACTCGTGGCACATACTATTTGACCATCAGCAAGTAAAATGTTCATTTAAACTCAGAACAGTAAAATAGATTATGATCTTACAATGAGTTAAAACATCTTATGCAATGAATTGGTGACTAATACATAAAATTAAATAACCAGGACGAAGGATGAGAAAAGACCTGTAGCCAAATCTCTGATGGAACCCTTTCGCTGGCTTCAACAAGTGAACCAGGAACCATAGATCCTGTGGTTGCTGTTGCAGAAACCTTACCATGCAATGGAGAAATGGCAGATGGCGTTGGGGCAGTCCAGTAGTCCATCCCTATATTCAAGTTTGTAGTGGGACCAGAAACCACTCCAGGTACTCCAGCTGCTAGCATAGGCATTATTTGCATTGTCTGATGTAATGTTGCGTGTGACTGTGCAGTCATTATGCCACTTGTTCCATTCTGGGATGTCTCTGCAATTATACATGGATAAAATGTCATGGACATTATATTCATCAGATTAACTAGGTACAACAATTTATAATGCCTACCATCCGGAGGCCTTTGTCCAACACCAGTCTTTGGTTCTGAGTCCTACACAATTTGTACACCATTAATACTTGACCTACTCAAGAATCATTTAACAAACTTTTGACAGGCTATTAGAAAGAGAATGCTTTCAAACATATATCAACGACTGGTATTTCTACACAACATGCATGATTGAGAAGATAATTGATGAGTGAGAAATTGAAAAGCAAAAGGAAGATGGATAGCCAGAAAATATAAATTCTGGGTCAAAATTTGTCAGATCCAATAAAAACAATTAAGTCAAATATCCTAAGAATAAGGTTATTACCTTGATGGGTCCTACATTTCTGTCCATTGATAAGATGCTAGAACCTCTTTAAAACCAAGTATGTTACTCCTAGGGAGATCACAACACATGGGAGAGATTTTTTTTTTATGTATGACCTCATTTATCATGCTTATAAACAAATCAGAGATATATTAGACAACTTCTTTATGACCTGACATGGGCCTCATTGCAAAAGACCTGACCAAGCTCAGATTCAAAGTTTAGGAGCTTTTTACATATATATACCATCCAAAACCTCTAAAAAAATACTACATTTACCATCTCATCTTTAAAAATACATATATACCATTATAAAATTAAAACTTGGTGATATTCAGTTGAATTTTATGTATATCATTAACTTAATTATGCTTGAAACATAAATTGTGTATATTTAATATACTTAATCCTCCATTAACTTTCTTTCATGTTTTTCTAACTTCATGTTTATCATCTCCATGGAAAATATAGTTATTCGTATTAGTTTTATCGTTGAAACACTTGATCTAAATATGTTTCAACTTTAGGCTGTAGAACTTGTTTTCTTTTCCACGAACTTCAAGAAAGCATTACATAAGGGATGACTCACAGTCAGAGAGTAAGCATCACTTCTTTCACTTGAATCTTCATTTCCACTGTCACTGCTAAAAACAATAGATTCACATCAATAATATAAATACTTGACTCAAAAGGCTCAAAAGAGCTAGTACATGGAGCATCATGACGATGATTGAAAATAATCAGGACGTTACATCTTTACCTTGGTGCTAACACTCCATTAGCTGCTCCTGATGTTTTATCGAGCTCATTGTCCTTCTTTCCTGTTATCATATTCAAACTTCCAAGACTTCCCTTTGATCTTTGAATGGGAATCCTTTCTTTACCCTCAGATGATTTTGCATCTCCTGTGCTTGCAGGCACACTCCCCTGTTAGATGAAAAAGCAGGTGTTCGCAGGATTCATTACCATTGCACCAACTTTTGGACAATAAGAGATTCGACAGTGTGGGTTAGCAGGCAACTCACACAAGCTTCAGCAGTACCATTTGAAAAAGTCGTTGCATAAGGACTAAATGGGTGCAAACCCTGCTCAGAGATTGGTGGAAAAGTCAATTAGCGGAATCTTGCAAAAGCAAGTCTTGCTTTTCAAAGGAATGAGTCATGGTTCAGTCATGTTCTAACAAGATGTACTGGTGGAACAGATGGATGTGGATATACTCCATGAGGATACATAACATATGGAGGAGGTGGGGTCCCATAGGTTGGCATAAATTGCTGCAAAACGAAAATAATCCTTATAAATACATTCCACTAATGTACATAATTGAGATGCAACAACATGAATAAAAATCACTTGACAGTCATTTGAAGGTATCAATATTATCCTCCTTTGACATTAGGTATTCAAAATTTAAACTAGGACTACAGCAGGCTAACAGTTTAACATGACAAAACTTTATTAGCCAATGCAGAAACAAACTAGATGAGAAGGCAAGAATGTCACTGTAGACATACATAATGATGATATCATCCCATGGCATAACTCAGAACCATTCATAATCTTTTGGAACACAGACTAAAAGCCGTTGATGAGATCAGCACAAAGCAAAATACACTTTTAAATCAGGTATCGACTGTTACTTCTCTGAATCAACACACTACCTCCACGCTAGATAGTTTACATCTCTACTCATGCATCAATATTGTTTTATGAGACTCTTTTGTCATGCCATAATCAACTCTTCTCTTCTGGTGACAGAAATGGCCTCATATGGAATGAACAAAAGTTGGACTGCCAAACAATTTTTGCCACGTTCTGAGTTTCCAAATTCAAGATATCACCCTTTATATCTGAACTCCTCAGACATAGACAAACACAATCGATCCAGCTACTAAAAAAAGTCTTAGACAATTGCATCTAATAATTGAGAGCGAAAAAAAGGAAAATAGATATTAAAGAAAAACCACCTGTGCTCCCCACATGTAAGGATGAGCCTGAGGACTCGATACCATGGGGGAATGGAAGAAGCCATGTGGAAGCATCGGTGAGTATGCCTATTCAACTCAGATGAAAAATTCTAAAGTCATGATGACATCTGAAGACAAATCTATTCTGTGAATTCACAACATTTATCAATGAGATGAGGAAATTCCAGTTATCACCTGAAATCCAGACCATTCCGGATAGACTGAAACGCTGGGTCTGGCGCTTGTGGCCGGTGGCTGCTCCTGAACAAGGTAAAACCAGAACATATAGAAATTAGGGGAAAAAAATCGAAGATTTTTTACTCTAGATTCGGAGCAAAGAGACCCAGTTCGCAATCGTAAAAGTAGAACGCATTACCTGCGCAGCTGATGTCTTCGGCCCCTTGGTATCTGTCTCGCGGCCTCCCATTGTCCAGTATATCCGTCTACCAAAACGTATTGCGGTCTATTCCGCTGGTTCTACCCTTCCCTTCTCAAGCCATCTTATTTTCTCTCTCAAGCCATTTCAGCGAGCGAAGATCCTCCACACCGCCGGCCGAATTGCGAACAACCACTTCCTAAGCCACTAAATTCCGGCTCAGATCTCGCTACAAAACCCTAACTAGTTCGAAACTTTGAGAAAGCAGCATAAAAATCCAATCTTGAGCAGAAAAACATAATGAAGAAACTCGAAGCTGGGAATCCAAGACGGCCTCGCCCAAAATGAACACGTTGGAGCCGTTCAATGGTGAAAGACGTTGTTACTTACATGAAAAATAACACTCTTGCAGGACGAATCGGAGCTCAAAGCGAGACCACGGACCAAACTACAGCGCAAGTTCTCGGTCCGGCGATCCCGCTCGTCGATCTCCGAGGGGAGAGGAGAGCGAGGAAGGGGAGGAGGAAGATCGTGGAGCAGAGGAGAAGGGCAAAGTCGGAATCCACTGGTTTTTTCGTGGACAAAACTGGAGTAGCCTTCAGTCTACGTGGTGGTCTCGTACGTACTAAGATGGGTACACATGTAGGTGTAGCCGGTATCGAGAGGTCAACGGTTGGGCTGAGTTGACCCAGGCTTAATCCAAACCCAACGGTGTGTCCGACATGGAACTACCCCTATTTGGAGTGCTACAATATGTCTGCTACATGTGTTTTAATTGGATCTGCTTGTGATCTTTGTCTCTATTGGAATCGTTTCAGCTATCAAGCCTCAAGTCTGTCTTTAACATACCTTGCACACTGAGGCAAGAAGTAGATGAATGTACAAAGAAACTGGATGGTATATTTTACTTATCTACATCATGATTTAATCTGACATATGAACTGCAACTTCTGAACACAATGAAACAGAGATCTTCACAAAGGAGGATATCAAGACATGTACCATCTCCTCCTTCCAAAGCCACAGCTGCTGCCTCATCGGGTACAAAGGATATGTGATGATCCAGGAAGCGACAGAACAACCATCATCGATAGACAAGGTCAGACGGCACGCGAGTGCAGTGAACGAGTCAAGGGAACGTGTATGATCCGCCGATCTGCGAGTTCGCCGACGGAGGACTGATGACCACCCGCAGCAGTGAGATAGTGATGACGATGAACCCCGACCACAGGTAAACGATCGTCGGTGTTCCTCCCCATTAGTCCCTTTGCAAACGGATAGAGATGAGCAAGCACCCAGAAGCTGAAGAACAACCCTCCCAACAGCTTGCTCCACTGAGGGATCACGTTGTATATTGTCCGGCTCACCCCGACCGCGATGGCGATCGGGTTCACCATTATTATGGTGAGCGGAGGTATCATCAGCGACGTCCACTTCACCACGTAGAGGTCAGCGAATTCGTCGTCTCCATCGTCGGCAGCTGACTTTGAGGTGAGCGTGAATGAGATCTCTATGCCGGCGATCACCTTCAGCAACCCTTGAATCACGGCTGCAAGGTGAGCGCTGGTACCGCCATTGAGCCAGAACTGCTCGTTGCGCCACCAATCTTCGAGCGAGATTCCAGACCACCGGATGTCGAGCATGGCCAGCAGACACAGTATCAGGGTGATGACGAGCAGGTGGATGAGGTAGGGCACGCTGAGAGTCTGCACGATGAACTGCCCGGGTAACAGCGAGAGTGCCGGTAGGAAGCAGTATCCGATGAGGAAGATGGAGGTGAATGGATATCCAAGCCAGTCATTTAAATTGACTCAGGCGGCGCAATACGTGAGTCATTTCCACTCGCTGCGTAACCAGTCATTTTATTCATTCGCTCATCTCACGAGTCAAATCTCTCGCCGAGTAAAAGTCGAACTCGAAGCAACTTCCAAGTCGAAACCAAGAAAATAAACGGCTTGGTTCCCTCACGGCGACCCCTCACTAGCCGAGCTTACAATACCTGCCACCTGTCCATCTTCTATTTCCTACTTTCACGCGATCCACGCTCTGCCCACCAACAAAATATCGTACCTTAATCGACGGCCTGTATTCGATGTCATGTTATTCTTAGCTTTTGAGATTTGGCGGTAGCCGTTGGATGGCGGATCGCATTGTTCCGTTTTCCTTTGTTCGCAAGAAAGCGGCGGACGATTCGACCAAGCGTCCTCCGCTATTTGTAGGCAATCGGCAATCCGCCACCTCGCTCTCGCTCTCGCTCTTCGTCTTCTTTCTCGATCGCGGTCCTCGGGTCTCGAGGAAGAGCGGGAGCCCTCGTCGCGGAGATGTGCTCTCTTATCGTCAACGGTATCGGTTCTTCTCTCCGATCTTGATGTTTGTCCTTTCGCTTGCTGAAATATTGTTTGCGAGAAGTTCTCTCTGTGTGATCCGCTTCGTTTCCGTCTTATTTGTGCTTTCCTATAAGATTTTTGGGTAGATCTGTTCTTTCGTGCGTTGTTCTTGGTGGATTATGTTGATAAAGGTTTTGATTTGTAGGTGGGGTGGAATTGAGTGGTTGGGCGCTATTAGTTGTTGTTGATCAAGATGATTAATTATAGTCGGAAAAGGGATGATTGGTTTTTGTTATGGTTGTTTAATGAAATAAGCTAGTTTGAGATGTTAATCCACCGATATTCTCCTTGATGCAACGAGAGCTTAAGGACTAATTACAATAATCCACTCACAGAATGGTACTGAGATGTACATCTTACGCAAACTTTACACGTTACAATTTCAGAAAGTGCAACAAAAACCATGGAGGGATCCTTGAAATTTCCTTTCCGAAACGGCCACTAATTCCACACTCCAATCAGCCTCTTTATAGGTGTCTTTCAATATAGTACTCTCAAAATTGACAAAGCCTTTGCCTAGTCATCGATTCATTTCTTCATCTTGAAGGGGTTTCAGAGTATGGATAGTCGTAGATAAGAATAAAAATCTGGGTCTAGTACCTGATTCATTTGGTGGTTCTATTGGTACGGTATCGGTACAATATATTAAAATATTAATCTAGTACTGATACCAATCAATAGGCTTATTGGTACGATATTCATATCTCACTATGTTATCACGGACAAACTTGTAAACAGGATGTTTGATGTAATGCCTGTGTCTTTTGGTATGTTCATGCTTTGCACAGCATGTAGAGGGACGGCCGAATACTTAATAGTCTCATTTTAGTTGGGTTGGTGGCCGCTTTAGGCTTGTAAATAAAGGTTGTGTCATGTGGACACTTGTGAGAGATTTTCGATCTGTAGTGGACCATTTTGACCCTTTGTTGTGAAATTGTTCAGAGCTTGCAAAGTCTGTTTGTAATTTGCATTGTCTATGAAGTGTTTCTGGAAATGTTTGCTTGTGGATCCCGAATGAGGCGTTTTCTCTAACCTGTTATCTCTTTTGTGGGTCTTAAGGGACCATGGGAGGTTTCGGGGAGGCTGACCTTTGCGAACGGATACGCAAGGGTGCCGTACGACTTAGGCAAACCAGTTAAGTCCGTGACAGATGGTATCAGAGCGGGACAAGCACTCATAGAAACACTTAGCATGCAAACGTGGGGGACCTTGCGGGGCTGCGTTGAGGGAAGTCAGCACACGGGTGACCGTTTGGGGGAAACGGGCATGAAGATGTAGGGAAAAGGAGTCGTTTAGAGAAGCGAGCATCTGAGATTGGCATTCAGAGGAATGATCAACCCTTCGCGCAAGAGGCACCACGAGAACAGACAAGCTTGGAAGAATGTGGAGCGCACAAAGGGTGGGATGGCTGAGTTTGAGCTACGGCTCAACGTTGACAACTATACTTGATGGTGCTCAAGGCAAGCGAGGCGTTTGGTAAAGGATGAGACCATGCAAAGGTGGAATGAATTGCTCAACGACCGAAAGAGTTGTGCAAAGCTCACACAGGTGAGGGGAATTGCTAACTCGAAGAATTTTGGTTCTCATACATGGGCTTGTATGCGGACGATGGAATGTTCGCGACCATCCCAAGGCGATCGAAACTTAGCGTCATGGAGCATTCAAACTTTCTCTTCGGCATGTGAAGGATACGTCCGTAGGAGGCTGAAGTGTACAGCAAGTTCAGCATGTTGCTAGGCCTTGAGTAGTGCAGCGGGGGCTATATTGACGTGGAGTCGCAACCTAGCAAGTGCGTTTACAGGAGGCAGAACAATGCACAGTTTGTTCAGCAAATCGGAGTAGTCCGAGGGGATAGTGGTCTCCGAAACGAAGAGAGATATTGCTTCAACGGGATAGATATCCAGGAGGGATAAGTCCCGGCTCTCCAAGAGGGAGAATCATATGCAACAGACCGCATATGTTGAGGAGGAGTATCTCAACAAACAACAACCCCACGAAGCTCAATGGATCGAGCAAGCGGCAAGGAGTCGTCGCATGATCTCGCGTGAGAGAATGCATTGGTGGATGCATTACGAGATCAAGTGGGGGAGCAATCCAAAGCAACACAAATGAAGGCACACTTGGAGTCGATATGGAGATCGGACTCAAGGGAGGGTTGACCCATGGAATGGTGCTCGCGAGGGCCACCATCAACTCAATGCAAAAACGAGAAGCGGAGCAACTTGGGTGTAACTTGGCGAAGTACCCAAGCCGCATGAAGGGAGCCAATATAGAAGATGGAACATGGAGCGGAGGCACAGTGCTTTCCTTAGACAGATGTCAAGGACATGAACTCTTGCAAAGGCAAGAGCAGGATCATGTTGTTCTATGGGTCCTTCATTCTAACAGAGCGGACTCATCTTGCATGGTACCAAAGAGGAAGGGAGCTTCTGGGCACATGCACCTTACCTCGGAGAAGCATTTTATGGAGGAACTAAGGCGACTCAACTTGCGAATGCGAAGTTGGGTTCAGAAGGCCTTGGCACGAGGCAAGAGGACGTGGAGGCGGGTACTCTTGAAGAATATGCCACAGTGTTGCCATTCAAGTTGCCATGAAGAAAGCGGTGTGCAGCGGAGATTGTGCTGGTAGGAGCAGAGGCCCAAGATCCAGACAATGGTGCACTAATTGCAGCGAAGTCAGGGGACTTCGGGAGCTACTAAGCGACGGACTGTCCTAGAGCGGTGCTTCATCTAGGTGTAACCCAAGAGTGGGTGGATGAAGGTCGATTGCCAAAGGAGCGAACAAAATCGAAGGTGGAAGAGACCATACGATGTATTGGCAGATGCCACACATGGAGGGATCACAATTCGAGTTCATCCCACAAGGATCATAATGCAATAGAGATGTCACCAAGAGGCGACAGGGTGCAGCGGATCGTGGTGGAACAGTTCGTGGCAATGCGATACACACGACATGGTCCCGTGAGGGACTAGATCATACGGAGGTATGATCGGGAGCTACTGGAAGCTCCACTTCGGTGAACAACACGACAGCAAGAAGGGCTATGGATTCAAGG